ATAGATGTAGCAGGTTACTTTCTACACACAGAGCAGGGTGAGGCCATGTGACCAGGAGATAGGTCTCTGATGCAGCCACAAACCAAGGACAGCCGGCACCCCATCACCTGGAAGAAGCAAGAGATGGATTCTCTCCTCGAGCCTCTGGAGGGAGTGCACCCCAACCAACAACTGGATTTCTACACAATAGAACCCATTACACACGGTGGGGTGTAGGACATGTTACCCCAAGATGTGGCACCCAATCTTTCTTTGTTTCTGAGGTCTCCGTCGACAACGTAGAAGGGCAGAGGGAGAAGATATTTTTACTCCCTACATCTATTTCTGGTCTCAAGAACTAAGAGACTAAATTTCCATTTTTTAAAGACACAGAGTGTGTGGGAATTTGTCACAATGGCCCCAGGAAACCAATACAGGTGGGAATTCATGGAGCACCTCTGGGAGGACCCAGAGGAGGAGTCAAGAAAAGACCTCCTTCGCCAGACTCATCCCTCTGTTCATCTTTGCAGCCAATTTCCTCAAAGGGTTGTCTGGACCCACTATTCCCATATCCCCTCCTCCAATTCTCTCCTGCAGTTGTTCCAATCATATCTTCACACCTTTGCCACCAACCATTGAATTCCCTGTTGTCAGGATCTCCAACGACAATGTGTTTCCTTGTGTCTTCTCTTCTCTATGTGCCATCAGTCCTTTTCCTCCCTCACCTGTTGTCATCATCTCACACTGACTATCCATGTTCACATCTCCCATCTGGACCTCTCTCCTGATCTCCAGACGTCCACACCAGCTCTCTCACTGAAGGCCCCAGTTGGATATGAAGTGTCTTCTCAGAATGAACATCCACCTCAAAACCCTCCTCTCTGTGTCCATCAAACACACCCTTTCTGATGCTCAGGGGAAACACTTGGGCACCATCCTTACTCTAGACTTTCAGACCCCAAGTAAACTGGAACTTCAATGTATATCCAGAAATTAAACCTCACTCTCCACCTCACTTCCCTGGTTCAGCCACCATCCCTTCTTACCTTCTGTGTCCTCCCCATTCTCTGTTTGGCTGCTGTGAACACACTAGTCTATTCTGAAAAGACCCGCCATGAGAATCGGTTACAAAGAATGTTCAACCATATCTCTGATTTCCTCAATGGCTTCCCGGTTCCTGCATTTGCTGCAAGCTTTCACTAGGCTGCACACCATGGGGTCTGCACCTCCCTCCAGGGGTCTATTCTTCCAGGAGCCCCTGGACTGTCACGCCTGAGTGTTGTCTCTATCACACACCAAGCTGCTTCTGCCTCAGAGCTGGGACACTGCTCCCCATCTTCCCAGCTAATATCCTTGAGGGCAACACAGTCTGTTCTCTCACCAGCATCAAGTCTAGGCTCAGATTCACAGTTCATACTCTCAGATGTTGGAATTGTCCCTCCATGTCACCTGATCTTTTCCTTGTATGATTCCTCCCCAAACACATATCACCATCCAACAGGCTGTAATAATTTTTAAATTTATTTTTAATTTATCCTCTTGTCTCCAGAATGACAGCTTCTGGATGACAGAGATTTTTCATGCCAGGTTCATGGTTGCATCCCCATTACCTACAACAATGCTGGCACATAGTAGGTGTTCAGTTATACTTTCTAAAGTGTCTGTATATAAATGACTAAATATGATTCCATTCAAATATATACAAGAATCACACACACACATAAACACACATGTTCAATTGGATGACTATTAACTAAGTTCGAAGTATGATCATCAGTTGGAGATGTAGGGATGGGGAGGGAAGGGTATTTCAGCCGAAGGAACTGCACATGCAAAGTCTCAGAGTCACAAAGGCCCTGGCCCAGCCAGATATGGAGATGATGTGAGATGCAGGGAGATCATAGAATCTAGTGTAGAGTCCAGCGGGAGACAGACCACGCTGAGCCCTCAAGTCCAGCTTGTGGTGGTTGTACTTCATCTCTGGCCATGGAGAGGAAGCATCATTGTTCACACTGTGCAGGAAGTGGACCTATGTCTCTGGATACACCATCTGGAGACAGGTAGCTGGTGGGTTCAGAGACCCAGGGAAGAGATGAGGCCACAGGAACAATCCCAGCATGATGAGCAGGAGACGACCATCAATATAGGCTGTGATTAGGAAGAAGGATGGACAAGTCTTAGTGGATTGAGGAGAACGGGATGGTCTTAGAGAAGGGGGCCACCATGTCATCACTGTGATGGGAAGCCCAGCAGAGAAGTGGGTTTGGGGAGGAAGGTGACAGCTCCATTTTAGCAATGCTGATGGGCAGACCGGTGGGAGGTTTCAGTGGGTGTTGGGAGGTGACTCACCTGCATCACTCACCTGAGGGATTAACCTGAGACTGTGTTTGCATCCTTTGTGCTCCTTTGGGAACTCAGGGCCTTCCTCCTGTGGTACCTGACTCTGAGGGAAGACACCGGATCTTTCAGTCTGATCGCATCAGGTCCAGTGGGCAGCAGACCCAACCCCCTGCTCCCTGTTCAAGGCCTGGAGAGGAGACTGAAGTGGGAAAGGGTGTGTCTGGCCTGACAGACCCTCCTGATCACTGTAGGTACCTCCCACCCTGGAGACCTGGCTTATGGGACACTCAACAGGTCTGTCTGTATGGAGTCCTCATTCACCACACCTTTACCTCCTTCGAGCCCTGCCCCTGACCTATCGGGATCCAAGGTCTCAGTTCAGCACTCAGCCTCCTGCCCCCAGTCCTCCTTTCTCCCCTGAGCTGAGCTCACATGAGGACGATGAGGCAGAGGAGGAGGATCAAGGTCTTGACAGCAGCTTCCCCGATGGCCACCAGCACCGCCTCAGCCCTGGGTCCTGATAATCCTGCAGGAAAGAGGGACGAGGATGGAGTCACCTGCTCGGCCGCAATCCCGTGTCCTCCTGTTCCCAGTAGGACCCTGGACGTCGTTCCTCAGGCGTTCCTGCATCCCGGGATTTGGGACCACTTGGGCTCTCACCCTAGACCAGTGACGGCGAACTTTTTGAGCTCGGCGTGTCAGCATTTTGAAAAACCCTAACTTAACTCTGGTGCTGTGTCACATATAGAAATTTTTTGATATTTGCAACCATAGTAAAATAAAGACTTCTATTTTGATATTTATTTTATGTATTTAAATCCCATTTAACAAAGAAAAATCAACCAAAAACAATGAGTTTGTGTGTCACCTCTGACATGCGTGTCATACGTTCGCCATCACTGCCCTAGCCCCTGCCCTGACCCCCAGCAGTTGGACAGAAATGGAAGTGTGTAAGTTGGAATTCATCAAATTGAAACATTCTGTTGATCAACAGACATGATGGGGAAAATGAAAAGCCAACCCACTTAATGGGAGAGAACATTTGCTAGCTATAGATTGGATAAGCATTAATAACCTGCCCATATACCAAACTCTTAGAACTCAACAACAAAAAGTCAAGGAACCAGATTAAACAATGGGCAGACACTCAATATAAAATGTTTTTATAAGGCGATATACAAATGAACAATAATTCCACGAGAAAATAAGCAGCATCATCATTATCAGAGAAATGCAAATCAAAGCCATGTTGAAGTACCTTTCACACCCACTAGTAGCCTATCATTTTTTTTAAAAAGGAAAATACCCATGTTAGCAATTGTGTGGAGAAATTGGAAGCCTTATACTTTGCTGTTGGGAATGTAAACTGATGCTGCCACTGTGGAATACAGTCCGGAATTTCCTCAGAAAGTTATACATAGAAAGTACCATTTGACTCAGCAATTGCACTCCCGGGTACATGACCTAAAAAACAGAAAACATGTCTGAACAAAAAATGTACATCAAGTTCACAGCAGTATTATAACCGCCAAAAACTGGGAACACCCGAATGTCTATCAACTGATCAACAGAAGAACTCAGTGTGGTACATCCATACAAGGGACTATTATTCAGACAACCCCTTAAGGCCCTTGTTCTCCATTAGTGAAGATGTGCACACAGCCAGATCCCTCCATATCATGGACAACTCCACAGTCACAGAGACGGGGGAGGGGGGTAACGTCTGTCTTTCTGATGGTAAAGAACCTGTTACGTCCTTCAGGTGAACAACCAATGCTCACAGCAGCGTGTGGACACTGCTCACTTCCAGCGGGCAGACTTCAGTGCCTCTAAGGGAAAAGTCTTTTGTTTTTAATAATTGATGTTTAGAGGGAGAGAGGAAGAGAGAGAGAGAGAGAGAGAGAGAGAGAGAGACATTGGTGTGCTGTTCCAATTATTTATGCATTCATTGGTTGACTCTTGTATGTGCTCTGACCGGGGGATCAAATGCACAACCTTGGTCCACTGGGACAGCACTACAACCAGCTGAGTTACCTGGCCAGGCCCAACTGCAGTGCTTTCTTCATTATTGGCCATGTGACTATATTGCTTGTTCAAAAATACATAAATTAAACTATTGGAGGAAAATGAAAAGGTGAGCCTGGAGGATTCGTCAGGAGATGGAGGGTCAGGAGCCTTGAGAGGCAGCTGAGCCATGTGGAGGGTGCCTAGTTCTCCTAGTGCAGCTGACAGGGGCTGGGAGAAGTCCTCGGGGAGCAAGGGGCCAATGGGGACAGCTGCTTACAGTGGCCATGGAGGCTGAGGAAGAAGAGGGACCACTGGGTCCATCCACAGGGGGTGTCTGGTCACTGGGTGAGTCCAGGATGAGGCAGGGTCCGGCCCTGTCCTGATCTGAAAGAGGCCTTGCTCCCTACAGCCCATGAGGGGATCCTTCTTACCTGTGCTGTCTCCTAAGCAACCACCTGTTGTTGAGTTCTGCAGGGCACCTGGGCCAGGAAGAGAGGAGTTCCATCGTCAGTGAGCTGAGATGGGGTGAGGATTTTTTAGGCATTGCACTTTCACCCTCAGAGACCACAGAAATGCAAGAGGGACAGGGCTGGTGTCCTCGAGGTTCCCTACACAACCAGGCCTTCAGGACAAACACCAAGCACACCTGCCTGGCCCTCCTGCTCTGAACACCTTCAGGGACCTGCTGTTCTGACCCAGCACTCACAGGTGACATTGAGCCTGATGGTTGTCTCCACGGTCACACCAGCGGCAGGAAAATGCACCCAGGGGAGGTGGTTGGTGCCGTGGTCCTGGGGCCCTGGGGTGATGGTGAGCATGGAGGAGAGGCGGGTCCTGGGGCCCAGGGAGCTGTGGGCAGCTGACGTCCAGGAGAAGTTGGGGGGCGTGCCCCGCTCACAGGCCCAGGGCACAGAGCAGGTCAGGTTCCTGGGGCGGCCGCTCTCCAGGGTCCCCTGGATGAGGATGTTGGGTGTGTGGTTGAGGGCTGGTGAGGAGGGGGAGACAGAGGATCAGGAGCGAGGGCCCCAGGTGCGACTCTGAGAGAAGCCTCGGGCTTTGGTCCAGCTCCTGCCTCTGATCCCAACACACTGTACCCCAACCCCCTCCCAGGATGGGGTCCCATCCCAGCCCTGCCCAGGGCCACCGTGAACTTCTCCCAAGGGCTCTCCTGGAGCCCGTTCCTTACCCGTCACTCGCACAGAGAGCATATCCTGTGTGTAAGAAAATTTAAACCCTTGGGAATGCTCCCTCTCCACTCGAAAAAAATATAATCCGGCATCTGTCCTTCTGGCGTCTCTGATGTCCAGGGAGCAGTTTTGGTTTCTGGGATCCCCGAGGAGGTGGAATCGGCCCTGGGTCTCCTCCTGCACATTACGAGTCTGGTTGTTTGTGACCACAGCAGCATCTGTGTCTGGCTTAGCTCCTTCTGGGAACCAGGAGCCATACGTAGGGATAGAAGTCCCATAGAACCACAGGCCAGTGAAGGTGCAGGACACAGAAACACACAAGCCCTCCTGCACTGTCACGGGTGTCTGCACTGTCACCATGTATCTTCTATCCAGAGCCAGGGACCCTGCAGGAAAAGGAGGGTCAGCCACAGCCCCCTCCCTACACCCCCTTCTCCCCTCAGACACTCACCTGCCCAGAGCAGAGGCAGCAGCCACAGCATCTCTGACATGGAGGGTTTCTGGGCTCCTGTGTGTGGAAAAAGAATGAAGACAGTGAGTGGGAGGAAGGAGCATGGTGTGACCACAGAAGCTGGGGAGGGGCATGAGAACTTGGCTGTTCACAAAAGAGGAACCTCAGATGTGGGAAACTGACATAGGGTTGAGCCTTGGACTGACCTGCTGGCAAAGTCACAAACAAGTCCCAGCTTAGAGGGCTCAGTCCTCTAAGCATAATTAGGCTTGACCTAATAACACTCCCCAGATCTTACCTGGGAAGCTAATGGGCTGAGGGAAGTGCAGGGAGTGTAAACATGATCAAAACAGGTGAAACTCACAAGAACTGTAACTATGGTAACCACTGCATTGTTTACCTCAGACTATAAAAGGTCAGTGCGGACTGAGCACGGGTGGATGTCCTTCCTCTTGAGTTGGACTTACCTGCCTGGTCCCCCAATATTTCCAAATTATCTCTTGTCTTTTCTATTTCATTTGTGTGCGGCTCCTCTTCCAGATATTGAACCCTGAACCACGTGGGACGTGGGAGGAAACATTTACAACATCTGGTGCCCGAACAGGGACTCTGGAAGTGAAGGTTTCGCTAGAGCAATAAAACCAAGTTTCACTGGCAAAGTGAGGAACAAAGAATTCACCATAAAGGTAGGAAAATTCGCCATAAAGGTGGGGATATTTCACCACACACAAAAGCCCACAATCACCTAACCAGTTTGGCTCAGTGGATAGAGCGTCCGCCTGCAGACTGAAAGGTCCCAGGTTTGATTCCGGTCAAGGGCATGTACCTTGGTTGCGGGCACATCCCCAGTGGGAGGTGTGCAGGAGGCAGCTGATCAATGTTTCTCTCTCATTGATATTTCTACCTCTCTATCCCTCTCCCTTCCTCTCTGTAAAAAATCAATAAAATATATTTTTTTTAAAAACGCCCACAATCAGCTACAGTAGTCCAGAGCTGTAGGCGGTGTGGGAATGTTTTCTCAACCAGGCTAACGGGGCAGGATTCGGCTTTACAAAAGTAAGAAACTGTAATCTCTTATAATTTTTGCTTGATATTATAGAATATAACCCTTGGTTTCTTGAAAAAGGTACATTAGATCTTGAATGCTTGCCAAAAAGTTAGAACTTGAAAAAAGGTCAGCAGCAGGGAAAAACTTGCCTCCAAATTTTTCCTTGACTGTTTTTCCTTGTGAAACATGGTATTTCATTTGCTAGAGCCTTTAAGAGAGACCAAGGAGGATAAATCTCCTCCCCTTGCACCCTCCGCTCCTTAAGAGGAGCAGAAAGAAAAGAAAAAATAGGAGGAATGGCCTTCATGGCTCCCTCCACCTCCATGTCCTAATTAATTCTCCGTTAATAGAATCATCTGTGCAAAAAAACGCCAAATTATAAAGAAATTGGAATATGAAAAGGTACTCTTTTAAATCAGGCTGAAAAAAAAAAGAGTGCCATGGTCATCTTAATGTGGTTTCTTGTCCAAATTAAAATCTTCATTTGTATTTGGAATCTAAAATCTGTAATAAGAAATGGAACCCTGCTGCCGAATCCACCTCAGGTGCGGAGAGATTCAAAGGCGGCAGGAGAGAGCAGAGCTATCAGCTCGCCCGCAAAAGACTAGCTTTATTACATCAGACAAAACAAATTATCAAGGAATGTCCCACTTGTATGTTACATCTACCTCAAGGGCCTAACACAGGAGTCAACCCTAGAGGTTTGCTAAGGGACCATATCTGGCAAATGGATGTAACACATTATACTCCTTTTAGACATCTTGGGGCATTGCATGTCTCTGTAGATACCTTTTCAAAAGTCCTATGGGCTACTGCATCAACAGGAGAAACGGCAAAACAGGTTATTAATCATTGCCTAGCTGCTTTTGCCATCATGGGAATTCCAAAAATTATTAAAACTGATAATGGGCCTGCTTACACAAGCTGTCATTTTCAGCAATTTTGTAAAAGGTGGAAAATTCAGCACATTACAGGAATACCATAATTCCCAAGGACAAGCTGGACAACAAACAGCCTGGAGAAATCCTGGAGCATGGTAAAGAAGACGGTACAGACGTCTGACGCCTGAGAACGTCTTTCCTGCCATGCTAGCAGTAATCATCTGTACGGTCATATTAACCAGGGAAACTCCCCCCAAAAGCATGTGGGGAAGGGAAGAAGGGAGCACATGGTGATCCAATATAGATGCCCCCTCCCCAAGTATTCTAATTTAAAGTCTCCTTCTCGTAATTGAAAAGTTTATATTAATTATGAAGGTCCAGTGGCCCAGGGAGAAGCTAGCTTAGCTCTTTGACATTTAAATGGACCAGGTTAGACCAGGGGAAAACAGTTTTTTCC